AATGAGCAATGAGCAATGAGCAATGAGAAATAAGAAATTAAAAATGAAAAATTACATATCAGAAACCTAAAAAACAAATTAATCTTATTATTATTCTAATAAATTCTAAAGAATTAACTTTAAAAGTTGTATGCAACCAGTAATTCACTCAGAATATTTTCACATCTAGTGTTAGRCAACCTGTGTGTAGTTATGGCGGTCTATCATATTCAAAAAGTTTGAGGTTAGAATGCTCTGTTTATGCTTTGTTAAGTTATTTAATAGGTATTTATTTAATTTCGTATTGTGAAAATATGGTTGTGACAATGTCGACACGAAAAAGACGTTGGTTATCAAAAATATATAGTGACTCTCAAGAAACCAACACCGATACTGATATTTCATGGAGCAGTTCTGATTCCAACACTGAAGACACCACACATAGCTTTCCTCGAAAGAAAATGAAAGTCACAAGGTGGCTCGAATTACACGACCTCGAAAACAGAGTAAGAAACGTGAACATGACTCCACCTCGGCAAATCGACGTATTCTTAGAATCGCCTGTAATTGGTGAAATAAAACCCGAAGATCAGTCCCCAATTCTCACCCAACGTGAGTTCAGTTTTAGCCAAGAACAGTCCCCAATCATCCCCAGGCAGAGAATTGTCAAAAAAATCAGGTGGCGACGAAGTAAGAAAAAAAATGAAACGAGAACTCAAATTATTAACGAGGACTCTAATTCCCCATCTAACACTCCGACACAAGACATAGCCCCCGTCTCAAGCCAACACATCTCAGAAGTGATCTCAAACGCCTCCAGTTCGCACTCTGACCCCAAGGCTTTGTACCATCAGCCCCCTCCTCGGAGAAAACGCCCCAGAAAGGGTACTCTCGCTGATCAGTTACAGAAAGCTGTAAAATTGCAAAGTAGCAGTTGTGCTATTTGGCAACACGAAATGTTTTTAAGTAAAACAAAAGGGGAAGAAAATGGGGAGGAAACAGGTTTCACTTTTGTTGTGATAAAAAAATGGAAAGAGTATGGGTGTACTATTTTAGAGTGTCATGGAAGGGAAGGAGATTTATTCCCTAAAGTTGGCATTCCTGGACTTGAAAATTACAGTAATTTTCTTGTAACTGTGGGTTTGCACAACCCTTCAAATATTGGTTTTCAGCCAAATGAAACATATCGAATTTTTCCGCCTTATTTAACTAAACTCGTGACATATGAGTCAAAACAAACCCTTTGTTTCATAGYTGGATGTAGGTTTCTGTCTTTGTAAATTGTCCTTGGCAAAAAAATGAAATAAAAAGAGTCCCGAGTTTCATATTGCTCTATTTACCCTCCAATCAATACATAATTACATCAATTCACAACAAATAAATTGATATACTTACTCCATATTGAACGCTTGATTGTCTTTGTTAATACACGGAATTTGGGACATCAAATTATATTAGTTCAAAAAATGTCAATGTAAACCACGCTTTATTGTCATTATGATTGACGTTTGAAACTAAAATTTGGGAGTTTTAGTTGAAATTTATTTTTGGCGGCGACTTTCTAAAACAATAATAGATAAATTCAATGAATTATTTTGATTTGTTGTCATTTTTTCTCTAGCTAGGATAAAAATTACAAAAAGTGAGGTTAGTTGCCTAAGGCGCGTTTTACATTTTTGTCCAAAATTCCGTGTCCGCCAGTGTATTAAATAAGCTCCAATTGGTCAATTCTTGTAAAAACATCTCAAAAGTTGAAAACAACGGTGCGTTAGTCTTCTTCGCTCCCTATTTGGTAAAAAAATAAAAGGGAAGAGTAATTTTGATTGACATATATGCAACACAAACATCTCTTCAACACAGATAAACATAACACAGATCCATCAACTTAGATTAGTTGCGATTTACGACAACGCTACGAACTGAGTTCGTGCAGTTGCAAATTGTCGTAAATATCCTGGTGGCGAATGTGCGAGCTTGCGAGCGAGCCCGATTCGACCAAGCCCCAATCCGCTTAGTCCCATCTGAAAAAATCAAATATCGCGCCACAAATTATTGATTTTTGGACAATTGGCGGGAAATTCGAACCGCGCATCGTTCAATACTCACTCTGTATGCCTAAAGCGTCCTGGAAATGAACAATTAGGGAAGAATTCGAGTTGGTGGGATTAACATACCAGTTTTCCTTTACCCTTTGTTCCGTTCCTGTGCTCGGCCTCCTTTTGGGCTTTTTCGAAGAGCTCGTTTAAAAAGTCATTAACGTCTTGCATTTTTTCGGGATCGCTTTTGAATTGTGCCATTCTTAGTTGGAGCGATTGCTCCAGGTCTAGATTTAACTCAGCCATTGTTTAATTCACGTTTTGATTATTCACTCAACACATTTTGGTGTAAATGTTTGGTGGGCTCACAAAACGCCCGATAGTCGTCGCACTTCGCAGCTGACTGGTTCAGTGGTTCAGTTCCCCACTCCGGGCTCCGTGGCCTCAATCTCCACGGTCGTATTACCCGGAGCGACTGGAGAACTAACAATACGCAGATTGCTTATGTAATCACCGGATCTTTCCGGGCTGTAATAAAGATGCTAGAGGATAAGGGAAGGGAGGGCGAAACTTATTATCCTTTTTGATAATACAACTGAATGGAAAAATATTATGCTTAATATCAATACGTCAACACAAATGTTTATTTAAGGAAATCGATGTTTACACATTTATCCATTAATTCCCAGCCAAGCGTTTAGTGCCTATTAATAATCAATCATCCTGAAAGTAATAATTTTTTATGACTATTTAGTAAAGCAAAACCGGAATTTGCAATAGTCAAATCCTATTTATAGAAAATGAAATTTATACATTGCTGTTTTGTGTTCGATGTTTCTGAGATTCGCAAACAAAGCAAAAGAATCAATATATTTGTTGCTCAAATTCTACTGTTTGTTTTAAAAATAATAAAAAATCAAAAACTGTCTACACACCTCGTGCCATTTCTTTTGCCACATCGCAATAACTGCGATTTTTAGGTGAAAAAAGTCACAAACATTTTATTTCTATGTAAAAGAAGAGTTTGTGTTACAAGTGGATCCTTCTGAAAATTTTAGAGCCAAAAAACTATTTCATACAAACAAAATTTTTAAATTTGACCCAATAACTTTTTTATTGAGTCTTTAAGACCTCTAGAAATGTAAAAAAACGTTATATGGATCAATTTTAAAGTAGAAAATATTTTTGATTTTTGTCGAGATTTTGGTCGATTTTTGGTCTATTGCCAATTATTGGTCATAACCTCTTATGTTATGCGAGGTATTGACTTGGCTTTAGATTTAACTCCGGACTTATTGGTGATAACCTCTTAGGTTTGGTACCGTTGGGAAGAAGATTTAATTTTCTATCATATACAAAAAAGATCAGTGTTCTGCGATAAATAGTTATCGAGAAAATTTCTGATGAAATCAAAAATATCGAAAATATAAATTCCACTATAACTTTTAAACTATTATAAATTTTGCAGTTTTCTTGACTCCAATCGATTCCCCAGAACATTTTACATATGTCTACATAAAAATATTGTATTTTTGAACTACAATTTTGCCGCAATTTAAAAAATAAGAAAATAAAAATTTGTTAATAAAAATTATATCAGTTTTTCATAAGATTAAAAAAATGTTGATTTTTGGTCACAATCGGATAGAGTGCCTCAACTTTATTACTAAATATCTCAAAAATAATATCAAATACCAATGTTTTTTTTTATTAACGTCTATTTTTCTTTTAATTTTATTCGTAATTTTTTCAACTTGACCCAATAACGTTTTATGCACTTTATTGAGTCTTTAAGAGCTCTAGAAATGTAAAAAACGATATATTTTTTTTCAAATAAAAAAAAAATCTGCGTTTTTCAATAATAATCTTGAAAGTATAGCAAAACTATTTGTTGTTTAGTAGAACACAACTTTTAAACAAAGAAACAACTGACACCAAAAATTAATATGTATACTTAAAATAAAAATTACAAAAAAATACTCCTAAAGCGATGTTACCTATGTGCATACGATAAGCAGGAAGGACGAAACGTATTATTTGACGGGAATTTAGGAATTGCTTTTTTAAATAATATTCACAGCAATTTGAAATAAATATTATGTCAAGGATCTATAGTAACWCCAGTGTTTGTTTTTTACGTAACATTTTTTGGTCAATTTTTATTATAATTATTTTGATTTTTGTCGATCGCAAAATAAACCCCAATAATTTCGGAATTTTTATAGACAGAATTTCAAAGCTTCAGTTATTAAAGTGTTTTCTAAAGAGTAAGCACTTTAGTGCTGCTATTTTAAATGCATTTAATGTTTATATTGAGTAGACTTGGATCAGAAATGCAATTTTAATGTGAGCATACAAACATTTACATAATTAATTCCACATTCAAGGAGAAAATTGGGTGATAAATTCAATTCGAAAATAGCATAATTTGCAAACAGCCACATGTTTTAACTTGAAATAGTTACTTATTTCCGCAGACATTAATTAATCCTATTTATGTAGCATGAGGATAATGTGAAGAGCAGTTTTCCCATCAGAAATAAAACACAGGTCGTATTCGTGTTAAAATCGGGTTATGATCAATAAAGCAGCTTTGTAAAGAAAAGCGCCCCGACTAAATTGGAAAGGTGCAGTTCAATCACGCAAGGAAATTGGTGTTAAACACTGAATCGTGAAATCAAATCGAAGCAGCGGCTTGGAAAATATATCAAAGCTTCAAAAGTCGATATTCGCCACACAAAATCTAAATTTAAGAGGAAAAACCTTTTAGAATATGCTTGCATTACGCAAAGCAGACAACTAACAAGTCCTTGAAATTTTACAACATAATTGGCCTGGTTTGTTATTTCTCTATCTTTTACTAAAAGGTCATATAACTGTTTTTGTTACGACGTTGTATTGTTATCAAGTCATCATTATTTGCTCTAGGAATGTAAATTAACATTAAAATTTCATAAAAACAGTGTTCTTTCGCAGCTACCAAAACATTATTTATTTCAACCATGTTCAAATATCAATTATCGCCAAATTAGGTCGAAAATGACAATTTTTTACCATTCCAAGCTTTTAGAGCACGTTTAGTGAGAAATTTCGCTCAAAAATTACCAAATTAAATAGTAATAAATATGTATTTGAGATAAAAACTTGTTTTAGCCGCAATCGTTTCAAAAATGTTTACTTTTATGACTAAATGTCACAAATAAACTTTTACTTTTTAGCCATGGAGTAAAAATTCTATTTTTGCGCCTAAGCGTTTTTACTTTTACCATGACATTATTGATGTCGTATAGGCTAAGTGTAAATTCAGTCGTTTTATAAAACGATTAGTCATTTTGAAAACAACTGGGCAAATTGTAAATGAATGAATAAATGCAGGGTTTTTTCAATATGACAGAAAATTTTAGGCGTATTATAAAAAGCCTAATAAGTTTTTAAATATTCTCCATTTAGAAAATGACTGATTACATTCAGTCGATTTGTAAAAGACTGAAAAATATTATTTTATAAGATACCTACCAATTTCTATTGTAGTTAGATAATCTATTAAAAAAAAACAAAGTTAAATGTTAAACGTTTTTAATGAATATAAAAAAGAAACATATTTCAAGAAAACAAATAAATTTTCTTAACAATTTCATCGTAAACTTGCGGAATTAAAATTTGGTGCACTATTGTCATTTTCATAACGTAAACTGTAAAACATTAATAACCTAATTTTTTACTCTTGTCGATTATGTCATTTTGACTTATTTACTTTCAAAAATATTGATCTGTGGCATAATAACGAGTAGGCAGCAGATCAAAGCAATGATTTAATTACACTTAGTTCAATTAATGAATTTTCTAAGACAGACAAATTGTTTAATTAACAATTTTAACAACACCAAAAAAGTTTAATTGTCAAATGTCAGTCATGATGACAGTAATACATATATATAATACTCCTCAAAAAAGGAAAGACTTAGAAATCCCATAATTAATGACGAACTTCTCGAAAATGTGGAAATGGATTTTGCCCATGATTATATAAAAACCTTTTGGCAATTATCGCCTTTTGTTGAGGAGGTTACAAAATACATTGCGGGATTTGTAACTAGCAAAATAATTTCTATCATGAATTGTGTTATATGCAAAAAACAATTGATTGGAAAAAATATGCCTTTACTTAGTAAGATAAAGGACTGGGGTCATATGTAGCACCCTCTGCAGATACTATTTCTTTATGTCTCGTGGCTGAAAAAATTGTTCGACAATATAAACATTGTAACAAACCAAATTTAAAAAAGGAAATTTGCAACAAAATTGCCCAATCTGTTGGCCTCATGTTTAAAAACGAAGAGATGGAAGTGCACGTAAAAACACAAGATTATTTAGATAATCATCGTTTTCAGCTTGTTAAATTAATTATTGAATTATATGTCGATACAAGACTTTTCCATGAGTCAAAATTATATTCGGCTAAGAGAGAATATGTTAGGCACAAATTTACAAAACTGGTGTTATTTAATCATGAATAATAAAAAATATTGTAAAATTGACGTTTTTGTTTATTTTTGAAATACTTTTTTCTCGTCTTATTTTTTTATTAAATTCTATCCCCATTGAGTCAGTTYTAAGATATGTRAAATTGAACTATTTTGATGACGTAAACTGAATCGAAAAACAGCTTAATTTTATTTGAATCGAAATAATTTCGCGCTTTCTACAAGAACTTTTTGACCGGCGCAGTTACGTTTCATGCCAACAGAGATAAAACATGGCATCTTCTATCTCCCTTTCTCAATGAAAACTAGTTCCGTATGATTTTGACACAACTCGCAATATAGGAGTATTATATATATGCAGTAATAGGAGGTAGTTTACACTGAACTTTTTAAGGTTAATCTATGACGCAGGTTTGTTTCAGTTTACAATGAATTTACAATTATCCTACGACGTACATATTATTTGGAGCAAGTGAGCTCCAGCTGAATGATTTGCCTCACTACGTTCGCCACATAAAGCATAACTTTTACTCCTAATATCATAATAAACTATTCAATAGAGTAAATTAATCAATCAATTTACTTCGACATTCTTTTATTCAAGAATTTTACATATTAAATGACTAAAAGTGAAACTGGGCTCTTGGTGTTTTGACAAAATGTCCGCCAAAAGTCAATTTAACCACTTCCTGATTTGTGTCTTTTTTCTCCCCAATAAGTTTGACAGGTGGTGGCCTTCTGAGTTTTCTTCCATGTCGTCCAGTTTTTCGTTGCCACCACCCCGACCTCGGCCTATTACCCAATTCGCGATTTTTTTGTGGTGAACCAATCGGAGTAGAGCCGTGTTCAACATTACTTAATCGACCGACAGTACACATACAGTTTTCAAGTAGACTAAACTCTTTTTTACTAGGCATCATGACAATCACTCTGTTGTCAACTTTCCTCAATATCGTGGCGCAAGTCCCAGCGGCATGGACCAAAAAGCCCCCCAAACCTGGGACTATTTCAATGCCATGAACCTGMGTGCCAAGAGGAAGCGCCCCAAGGGGGTACGCATCGCCTTCGTTGGCACGAACTAAAACCACAAGTTTATGAAATTATCTCTTTTCACTGTGAAATACCTGGAATTCGGGGAATATGACAAGAAGTCTTGATTAAATCCCCAGCTTTCATATTTTCAGTAGCTAAGATATATTTCATCTTGTCGCCATGAGCCACAAGAGCCACACTGGCCGTCCTGCACCCATCTTTGATGATTTTGATCACTCGTTCCACCTGTGGGGGGCCCTCACTTGGGCCAACTCGTTTCCAGTCAACCCAATGATACTTGTGTTTTATGCCTCCGCCGATGCCTTTAACAGCAATTCGACCCGTCTCGGGGTCTCTGCCCCCCAAATTTGTCACTTCTAACGGCTTCACGGTGTATTTCTCGGGGAAATGAACAATTCTTCGAAAACCTTTCCCATGGCCAATCACCGGTTTCGGGGGCGGMACATGACCGTGTCTCACACTGGTTAACACTACAGGAGCGCTTGTTAAAGTTATTTTTTGTAAAGCTCGCGCTAATGAAGCCATTTGAGGTTATAAATTGACATTTAAAAGTTTGTGGTTAAGTCACCGACTTGAAGTTAGCTGAGTTTCCTAAAATTATTCCAATTGTAAGTTTCACGTTACTATTTTTGGTTTTGGGAACCACTGGACGACAAGAAGAGTGATAATAGTGCACTTTATTGCAAATGATTTTTTTCTTTAACGTTTTTCGGTAATCGATGTCCAAGGTTGTCGTTTAGAGCTAACTTCACTATTAAATTGCTTCAGTTCTTGATACTTTTTCGTTCATGTAATTTTTTGTGTTGTGCTGGTTTTTTGACCTCATTCAGCGATAAGAACGAATGGATTTTAACATTGAAATACGTAAGAAACAGTTAGATAATTTGGATCAACTTATTTCTTCATCCAGGAGTAGAATTCAATCAGTACTGAGCTACCTGGACTGGACGCAAGAAAACGTCGAAAAAGTACGTTTATTCTTGTTTTATCCGATTTTTGTTTTGATAAACTTGTTATTGTTGTGCAGGGGGACCATTTGGTACAATGTCCTGTCAATCCTCATCACAGGATTCACCCGAAATCCTGGAACGAACACATTGAAAAATGTGTTGTAAAAATTGAAGGGTACTCTTCCAACAGTCAATTTTTATCAGAGTCGCTTGATAATCCCACTCAGTCAATATACATAGGTAATGGGATTTGTATTTGGGTTCAGTTTCTAAWTCATTTTACTTATAGATCGCAATAAAAAGATTGAACTAATCACCAAGGAATTAGCTGAAAAGGGGGCCCTAAGACTAGGTTCGTATAAAAATGATAAGTTTTTTTTGCTTGGAATGAGTGGGACTTAGGAAATAAATTTTTTTTCAGAAAAAGATTACAATTTTGATGAAGTTATTACACAACTAAACATAAACATACCCATATTTATTAATATATCCTTTTTCAATATCCTTTTTTTATTAAATGTGCTTAGAATGTTAGGACCATTCAGTCAATTTCTAAATTATTTCAACAATGCATGTGGTCACTCAAAATTTAAGTCTGAAACTTTGCATGTAATTTGCATTATTGCATTTAAAAATATACTTTTTACCATCTAGCCTGGAATGGATTAGATCCGGACCCGAGAACTTCAGATAGATTAATATCAACGTTTTCGCCCGATGAAAGATTAATTTTTTACAACTACACTGTTCAAAACACTGAAGGTCCTCGCCCCCCAGCCGAATTCACAACGTGAGTATCCTCCTTTAGGTCACCACCGCCACTAACTTGCTTTCACAGGCTTTATGACAAAAAACGCGATGAGGAAAAACCGCTCACTTACGAGGAAATTCTGGCCCAAGAACGAGACTCGAAACGAAGACGGGCCAAATACAAATCGGTTCACATCAATCGTAAAAAACACACTGAGGTGATACGAGAAGTGATAAACGGGCAAATGGAGGAATACAAAGAATGGTTACTAGCTAAAAATTGCAATAATGGAGTTCACGAGGACAAAAAGGAAGAAATTGAACGTCCACACTCATCCACTAGTAGAAATTCAAGCAGCTCGAGAAGCACAAACCGGAAATATGACAGACATAGAGATGAGCGTGATAGAAGTAGCAAAAAAATTAGATCTAGAAGTCGAGAACGGAGTTACAGGAGTGAAGATAGATACTCGAAAATAGAGGAAAGGAGAAATCGAAGAAATCGCTCAGGTGAAAGAAGACGCTCTCGTGAGAGAAATAGACGAAATTCATCGAGAGATAGACGTAGCTTCAGTGACGTAAGGAGACATTGAACATAATTTTTCTTTTGCAGAAATGTTTCACTGAATTTTATAATAAGTAAAAGTTAATTTAACAGCTAAACAAACGTTTCATTACCTATCCCGAGTCCAGGAGCCAGGCATTATTATTATTATTAATACACTAAAAATGCTTTGAGTTTATTGAAAGCAATATTTCATTACAAAACGATAAAAAACTATTAAATTATTCGTAAGCACTAAAACAGTTCTCGTGGTAGGATTTTTTTCAAGTAGAGACCCACAATTTGGCCTTGATGTTGAAACGTCAACTGTTTTGTAGTAAAATACTCTACGAAATCAGCGAGCGTTGCGAATTCAGGAGACAAACTTTCGTTTTCTGTGTTGAGACAAATTTTGTTGTTTAGCCGTCTCTCAAAGCCCAGATTGAAGTATTTCCCCTTGTATTTTAACGACAATGTGAGGAAAAAGCGTCTACTGGGTCGGAAGAGGAAAGCACCGTCTTCGAGGTCTTGCAGGAGTTGTCTGGCGCCTCTCCTGTCGGTGTTTCGGTAGAAGGGGTCGTCGTTGATGTTGACTGAAATTGAAGGAATAATTCAAAATGAATAACTGTTATAAATGAACCCGTTTCTGAGACGTCAAACATACCCAAAAAATACGATTTAGTTTTCTCTGTACGAATGTGCATTTTCATTTATTTATTTTTTGATAACTTTTATTTGATTTATTTGAAATATAGTTCAAGAGTTGTACTAAAATTGCCGTGTTTACACTAATATTTTGGTATTTATTTTATAGATGCAAACATTATATTTTATTTTATTTTTATTATTACTTCTCTCAAAAGTTCGAACGATAATGAAGATTAAAAAGTCCCTACATTGTGTAAAATGTGTTTCAGTTCAACGGTTATGCACTTTTTCGAGTCTTTAGGACCTCTAGAAATGTAAAAAACGTAAAATAGATCAATTTTAAAGATAATTTTTTTTTTGTTTATCGTCGAGATTTTGGTCGGTTTTTGGCACCCGGAGCGCTCTGTTGACAATAACTCCGGACTTATTGCTGTAACCTCTTATATTTGATACCGTTGGAATGAAAATTTAATTTTCTATTATATACAAGAAAAATCAGTGTTCTACGATACGGGAAAATTTCGGATAATATCAAAAATATAAATTCCACTATAACTTTAAAACTATTACGAATTTTGCAGTTTTCTTGACGCCAATCGATTTCCCAAAACATTTTCCATATTTCTACGTCAAAATATTGTATTTTTGAGCTACAATTTTGCCGCAATTTACAAAATAAAAAAAAGTAAAAATTTGTTAATAAGATAATGAAATTTGTATCAGTTTTTGATACAATTAAAAAAAATGGATTTTTTGATCACAATCGGATACAGAGTGCCTCTACTTATAACACTATTTTCAACTTCATTACTAAATATCTCAAAAATAATACCAAATACCAATGTTTTTTTATTTTTGCGATTTTTCTACCGCTCACCTTCTTTAAGAGCTCTAGAAATGTAAAAAACGATATATGAATGTAAAGCGACAGTATGGCAATATTAATGGCATGAAAATGGCAACATCGCAACTGTATTTTTGAGTACAAATGGGTAGCAAAGGTGCTTTCTGCATAAAAAGTTTATTTTCTAGTTTTTATACAGAATATTTTTACGCGTGGCAAGTTGACAGGGTTTTTCAAATAAAAAAATCTGCGTTTTTCAATAATAATCTTGAAAGTATAGCAAAACTATTTGTTGTTTAGTTTAATAGTGCTATAACTATTTTCAACTTTATTACTAAATATCTCAAAAATAATACCAAATACCAATGTTTTTCTTTTATTAACGTCTATTTCCCTAACGAACTATTTAATTTTTTTTATCTCATGTTTATATTGCGTATTATTGGTCAGGTTAGGTTACTTACATACGTAGTTTCCGTACTCTTCTCCTTCCTCCTCTTCGCTCTCGCTATTTTCCCTTAGTTCTGCTGGATCTAATGGAATGTTAGGTAAAGTGTTTGGGGGCAGTGGTAGTGGCAATTTGGGGTCGTCTGTGGGGCAAAACTGTTCATAACTTTCGGGTTTAAGCTTTATTGGTTCCACCTCAGCATTTCCATAAGTTGCATTTTCTTCAGCTACAAACCTTCGATACAAAAATAAATAGTTCAAGTGTCTACCTACTTAGTAGATTATTTTCTGATTTTGATCTCAATATCACTTCCTCTGGAGCTTTGGTTTCAACATAAAGAGAAGTCTTCCGGGTGGATTTTGGGTTGTTTTCATTCAATTCTCGTTTTGGTAGCTCAGGTAGCGGCCTGTTTCGTAAAGATCTCTCAGGTTTAGGCGATTCTGAATTCTTTCTTGGGCGTTCTAAGGACTTTGTTGTTGGTTCCACACTGGGATTTTTCTTGTTTGTTTTAAATATACTACCGAAGATTTTTGCGAAGGTACCAGGTTCATAATTTGGTAGTTTCTGTGTGGTGGTCTTCTCCTTGGATTCTTCTACAGCTTCGTAGGTGGCTTCTTCAACGTCTTCTTCTGTTTGGTTCTGCGAAATTACAGTTTGGTCTGGTTTCTTCCATTTGTTTTCTGTAACTCGTGGAAGGAGAGCAGGTGGTTTATCTGCACTTTTTTGTGCATTGTGTTCGTTGATATTTTGTCTTGGCAAAGCCAATGGAGGTCTTTCTGAAAGAGTCCTTCTGAATTGTGCAGAAGGTTTTAAATATCCACCTTCGTCATAAATTTGGGGTTCTTCTTCTTTCATTTTTGTAACCAGTTCCTCGGGTGGTTTTGGACACTCTTCGTTTTCTATTTGTTCATAAAATTCAGGTTCGTTTAAGGTTTCTTTGGGTGGTGTTGGCAATTGTCGACATTCTTGATCAGTTTTTTCGTTCAGATTTGTTGCAACAGTCTCATTTTCTTCAGTCACTTCATCTATGGTTGGTTTCCGTGGTGAGATGGGTGGTTTTTGGGGTTCGCTGGGTGCATTAATCAAAATTACTTGTTCTAATCTTTCCTTGAAATCAGGTTTTTCAGTCATAATACTTTGTCGTCTGATTAAGTTTGGTGGTTTTGGTTTCTCTTGGGGGAGTTGAAGGTAGTTTTCAGGATTTTCTTTCAGTTTTGCCACAAATGACCACAGTTTTCTTTTTGACGCTGCTTCTAATTTCCATTTAATCACATCTAATTCAGTTAATCTCTACAAAGCTTTATATGTGAACAATACTTTTTTGGGAACACTTACCAAAAGTTTTTCCCCGTCGATAATTTCCATTTGAATTAAAATCTCCTCGAATTCGCCGTATCCATTCTGAAAAAAGTTAGTAGAAATAGTAGTAACAAAAATTGTGCTTACTGTTTTGAAACATTGTATCACATCGTCCTTAGTAAATTGTTGGATTAAATTTAAATATTTCTGATAGGTAGTCATGTTTCGTGCAAGGAAAAATATAATATGACAATCGCTCTCAACGGATGTAAAATTTATCTTATCAGTGAAAATAGCAACTACTTAATTTTTAAACACATTTTTCAAAAGCTAAATACTGAGTAGCAATTTTTGCAAAAAAAGTGGAAAAAAAATGTAATCTCAAATGGCCCAATTTGTTTAATTGTAAAGACTGGACTGTAATTAATATTTTATGGGGAAAATTTTGCAGGAAATGATTAAAACTTCGGGAATTTCCTTTTTAGTTATCATTACCATAAATATATTTTTTTGTGTTTTTTCTATATTAAAAATTATTTTAACCGATTAATCACACGTTTAATGAAACACATGTTTGAATATTATACTACTTTATACCAAATATTTGTTTTTGTTATCATGCGGAACCAAAAATGTGTTTACAAAATTATACCTATATCATTTAAAAAAATCCAAAAATCAACATACACTTAGGTTTACAAGTAAGTGGCAATCAATTGGATTTATGAGGAAAATTGAAAAAAAAACAAATTTCATTACTTATCTGCCAATTATCTCTAAACATGAGTAACTTTTGTGATCGGTTTATTGTTTTGTCCTTATTAAATACGCATTTACTGTTTATTTATCCATGATATCATATTAGTCTAAATAAAATAGTTGCACAATCAATTTGATACCTCCACGATGCAAAATATCGAAAATATGCAATCTACGTTTTTATAATTTAGATAACAATGTTTTCTTTCACTGTTTTGCGGTTTAAGTTTAGATATGTGATAGACAAATGTAGTAACTACAAGGAATTTGCGGTTTTTGTGACGAATTTTTGGAATTTCTTTGTGAATTCAATGGAATTTAGAATAGATGAATGAATTAATTTTAAATTTGTAGGCGCGCCATTTTTCAAATGTGACTTTAGTCACGTGGTTGTGATCAGCTGACAAACGTCAGTTCTGTCACAGGTTCTGTCAAATCACAACAAATTGATTTGTCCTCACGATGCGTTTCGTGTCTTTGCTGTGATTATTTTGTGTTGAAAAACGCAAAATACTCAAACAGCATGAATTTGCACCAGATAGTCAGCGGTGCTTGCAATGCTGGCGATAAATGCTTCGCTGTGGGGAGCGTCGAGGGTGTACCTTTTACGGTAAGTCCAATTTAATGTTTGTTCTTTTGTGAAAAAATTATTTAAAGGCTTATGCTGCGGGCTGCAATATCGTGATCCTTGCTTCGACTTTCGAGCGAGTTCAGATCATCCCAGGGGCCGTTCATGATTATATTCGGATTAGTTCAATTGATTGTTCGAGTGACACGGGGAAGATTGCTGCCGCTTATGAGAACACTGTGTGCATTTATGAGCCCACGCCTCTCATTCATAACACTTCGAGACATGTAAGTGGCCAAGTTTCAATTTGGAGTGGTTTTTATGTGGTTATTCTTTCAGGGGTTGGATTATAGGTGGGTTCAAACTGGTACGCTGAAAACGGACTCTTTAATTAGGGCCTTGAGCTGGAATTTGGAAGGCACGAGATTGTTAACGGCAGGGTCTCATGTGCAGCTTTGGCATCTTAATTCACACCCCATTATTGAGGAAAAAACAAATGTTACGTTTACTCTTGGGGGTGAAAATGCTGATGGGAGTGATTCCATGGATTATGCTGATGAGCCCGATAAACCCCAAGGTAATTGGGGTGACTCAAGTTATTTCCACTGTTGGGTTTGTCTCAGACTTAAAGCAAGAAGCAAAAAACATCAGAATTTGCTTTAATTTGTCTATTTTATGGATACAGAGCCAATAAAAAAAATTGTTTTAGACGAATCAGTTTCTGATAAGATTAAAAAAAATGTATTGCTAATTGGAAAGCAAATTTAATTTTCTATCATTTAAAAGAAAGATTGTCTTACAATAAATAGTTATTGAGAAAATCCACTGAGAAAAAAATTGACGAAATAGTCCCTTATTTAATATTAGTTTTTCGTGGCTAAAAATTAAATTTATTATTATTGCGTCTTTTTCAAAGCAAATTTGAATTGAATTAAAACAGTTTTTTATACATAATGGGTGAGGTTTTTG